CGTCGTGGTCGTGGGGAAGTCCAAGGTCGAATGTGTAGTGTACATAGACCGGACGGATGGCTGGCTGCCCACCACGCTGACCAAATAATTGCATATAGGCTGATGGTCTTGGGCACGTGGAGTCCAACCACAAGCACTTGTCGGCTACAGGAAAAAATCACAGGACAGTCGGTCCAACGGGCGTCAGAAGTCAGGTGTGGCTCCCTACGTCACGCTGTGGTTGCCGGGTAGGCTTAGCCTGTTTGGACTCAACCTCGGCCCAACCCCCAGGCGCTCTCTTCACAGCAACGACCCTAGTAAAGTCAGCCAGCGCGTGCTCTTTTCGCCTCGGATCTGCTGAAGCTAGGACTCAGTCTCATCCTGCCGTCATTTTATCTTTCGCCTACCCTCTGCTTCTCTCGACTCTTTTTTTGTGATGTTCAGCAGAGCTGCCCGCGCGCGAGTACCCTCCTCGATACTTCGCAAACCAATATCCAACCAGCAAGCATTTGCCAAGCCCAGGGTACGTTGAGGAGCAAAAACTCGCCTTTGGTGGGGGAGATGAGAGAAGGAGAGAGAGTGTGTGTGCTGATGTCGGCATATGTGTAGATTATCACAATGGCTCCAGCAAGGAAACAGTCGAGTCTGCCAGCTGGTAAGTAACCCCCCATGCATGTTTGTGTGTGTGTGTGTGTGAGAGAGAGAGAGAGAGAGTATTCCTTTCACATGCTGTCCCCCGCGCAAATTGTTCACAGCCTGACACCTTCACCTATGTAGGCTACAAGGAGGACCACACCAAGGGCCCCATGTTGCGCTTCGAGGACTCTCTCCCCCGCCTCCCTGTCCCCACGCTAGAAGAGACCGCCAAGCGGTACCTCAAGTCCGTCCACCCGCTTCTTTCCCAGAGCGAATACGAGGCGACCACAAAGGCTGTCAACGAATTCGTAGCCCCTGGCGGGCCCGGCGAGAAGCTACAAGAGCGCCTGGTCGCACGGCGCGAGGACCCCAAGCACAAGAACTGGATTTATGAGTGGTGGAATGAGGCCGCTTACATGGCCTACCGTGACCCGGTTGTCCCATATGTCAGCTACTTTTACTCCCACCGCGACGACAAATCGAGGAGAAACCCGACCAAACGCGCTGCCGCTATGACCACCGCCGTGCTGGAATTCAAGAAGATGGTTGACGAGGGCACTCTGGAGCCCGAGTACATGAAGAAGCTCCCCATCGCCATGAGCTCGTACGAGCACATGTTCAACTGCTGCCGCGTGCCAAAGAAGCCTGCCGACACGACCGTCAAATTCCCATACCAGGAACACAAGCATATCATTGTTATTCGGAAAAACCAGTTCTGGAAGCTTGCACACGAGGTCAATGGCAAGCAGCTCAACACTGCTGAGCTCCAAAAACAGTTCGACTACATTTACTCAAAGGCCGAGAAATCGCCCGCCGTTGGTGCCCTCACATCGCAGAACCGCGACGTGTGGTCAGACGTTTACCCTAAGCTCAAGGCCCATTCGCCCGTCAATGCTGCGACTCTGCAAGACATTGAATCTGCTTCATTTGTCGTTTGTCTTGATGATGCCTCACCAGTCACTCTTGAAGAGCGCGCACACCAGTACTGGCACGGCGACGGCGCCAACCGCTGGTACGACAAACCTCTCCAATTCATCATCAACGAGAACGGTACCTCTGGCTTCATGGGCGAGCACTCGATGATGGACGGAACCCCCACCCACCGCCTCAACGACTACGCAAACCAGCAAATCTTCTCAAACGCCCTTCCCTTTGACGACCCCAACATCCGCTCTGACCTCCCCAGCCCCAAGCCTCTGCGCTTCGAGCTCAACAGAGAGCTCCAGCAAGACATTGAAGAGGCACAGTCGCACTTCTCGCGCCAAATCGGCGCACACGAGTTGAGGGTGCAGGCCTACCAAGGCTATGGCAAGGGCCTCATCAAGAAGTTCAAGTGCAGCCCAGACGCCTACGTCCAGATGATCATTCAACTCGCATACCACAAGTTCTACGGCAAGAACCGTCCCACATACGAGTCGGCAGCAACTCGCCGCTTTCAGCAGGGCCGCACAGAGACGTGCCGCTCCGTCTCGGACGAGAGCGTCGCCTTCTGCAACGCCATGGCCGACGCAAACGCCACCCCCGAAGAGTGCCAGCAGAAGCTGCGCGCGGCCCTCGACGCCCACGTCAAGTACATCTCGGATGCCAGCGACGGAAGGGGTGTCGACCGCCACCTGTTTGGCCTCAAGAAGTGCCTCAAGGAGGGCGAGGAGCTACCCGCTCTGTACAAGGACCCTGCCTTCACTTACAGCTCCACGTGGTACATTTCCAGCTCGCAGTTGTCAAGTGAGTACTTCAACGGATACGGATGGAGCCAGGTTATCGACGATGGATGGGGTCTTGCGTACATGATCAACGAGAACTCGATTCAGTTCAATGTTTGCTCAAAGGGACTTGGTTCGGTAAGTTCTTTTTCCTCCTCCTCTTCTTCTACTCCCTTCTTCTCTTCTCTCGTGTGTTCCCCAATCCAAAAAGAAACACACTTCTCGTGTTTTCGTAAGAAGATTAGCTAACATATGTTACTCTTTTTTTTAGGACAAGATGAGCTTCTATCTTAACGAAGCGGCGGGTGACATGAGGGATATCATGATGCCCACGCTGGACAAGGCAAAGGCAAAGTTGTAGACAGGTAGCACATTAGAGATGCTTGTTGGGATCAACACATGTAGACCACTTGTATAGATGGCAATTGCCTTGTTTTTTTTATCAACCCCAAAAAAGTCATCTTCGTCCTGGTTTGCTTTTTCCTTTTTTTTTTCAGTTCCCAAATTTCATCTTGCATGTATTGGTAAGCTCGAAATGACTTTTTTTTAATCGTGTTGTTGCATCTTCCACAAAGATCCACTGAGTCACCACAGTCACCATAATGCACCAGACACTCAAAACAATCAAGAGGGGATTTTTCTTTTGGCATGCTTGGATACAGATCAAAATTTATAGAATCCCAATCCGCTCAAGTAGCGCATCCAAAAGCTCATGTCATTACTAGTATACATTCATCGTCCGCGTCTCAAACCACCAATCTATGGGTTCTGCTTGACCCAGTCAACACCCTTCTTGATGTTCTTGGCAAGGTCAGTGACGCAAACATCGAGGAGCTTCTGCTCGTAATCGGTGATCTTGCCAACAGGGTGGATCTTCTCAACACCGTTGGGGCCGAGCTCGACGTTGGAGGCGAAGTAGTCACAGCCCTGCTCCTTGAACAGAGGCGAGTCGACAAACGTGGGCTCGATGACGTTCTTCTGGCCCTGGGAAGCCTTGAGCAGCGACTCGGCGAAACGGGCACCAGCCATGGCCATGGAGAGGGTGGCGGAGCCAGCACCGTCCTTGGCCTGGACGACCTCGTCACCACCGAACTGGACACGCCTGACGTAGTCGTCGAGCTTCTGGCCCTCGAGGTTGTAGCCGGACTGCGACAGTAGGGGAACGATGGTAGCGCCAGAGTGGCCTCCAATGACAGTGATGTTCTCAGTGGCGGGGTCGGTGTTCTTCAGCTGCGAGATGAAGCGCGAGGCACGGACAACGTCGAGGGTGGTGACACCAAACAGGCGCTTGGGGTTGTAGACACCCTTGGCCTTGAAGACCTCGGCAGTGATGGGGACGGTGGAGTTGACCTGTAAAGAATGAGCATCGTGTTTGAATGGCAAATTAACCGACTCTACATACGGGGTTGGAGATGATGAGGATGTTGGCATCGGGAGCGTGGTCAGCGGCGGCCTTGGCGAGGTCACGGACAATCGAGGCGTTGGTGTTGAACAAGTCTGTGTCGCTGTTAGCTGTGCCACGGGCGTCTGTTACTTCCAATACCTACCATCACGGGTCATGCCGGGCTTGCGGGGAACACCAGCGGGGATGAGAACAATCTCAGCGCCCTTGAGGGCCTCGGCGAGGCCGGAGGGGGTGGCATCGTGGCCAGTGACCTTTTTTTTTACACATCAGCTCATTGTTCGTACTAGGGGGCCAGAATGCATCTCTCGTACCTCGCTCTTGGTGTTGATGTGGCCAATGTCGGCAGCGACACCTGTGCAGCATTGTTTAGCAAGCGTCCATTGCTCAATGGGTTGGCAAAGGCAGTGGGAGCGTACCAGGAGCAAGGCGGATATCGTAGAGAGCGAGCTTGCTAACCCTGGGGTTGAGCTTCAGCAGCAGCGACAATGGCTGGCCAATGCCACCAGCGGCACCGAGAACGGTGACCTTTGAGTTCTGCAGCAGGCTCAGTTAGCATTGCAGTGAAAACAAGTGCCAATTGCGCGCGGCGAGGGCATGGCGAGCGCCCCACTATGAAAAGCAGTCGCAGCCAAGTCCGGGAATCATCGTACCTGGCGGGCTGAGGCGGAGAAGCAGCGGCGCTGGGCCTGATAGAATGCTTGCCTAGCAGCGAACATGATGGATGTAATGGGCGATGGTAGAGATTGGAGACTGGGTTGGACGGAGCGAGGGAAAGAAAGAGGATTGGCGGAGATGTGGGAAGCTGCGGGAGGTTTTGCGAAACTTGGACGTCAGTGCTTCTTCGGTTGGTCGTCGGAGCTACGGCTGACACGCGCCTGCGTCTGCGCCTTCACCCGCACCCCTCCTCTCCCGTCTGCCTCGGACCATTGGCTCTTACCGGCATCCCGCACTCGCCTGAGACCAGACGGTACGCATTTATCAGATGGGTTTTTAGCATGTATGGATTAGTATGCTGACCTAATTCCCACAACAGTTGGGTAGCGCAGCTGGACCTGCCACACTACCCGTCGTCGCATTGCTGGATTGCGTCATGCGCACGGACGCTTTTGTCACACCTGCGGAGAGAAAAAGGTATACAAAGTACGCCAATCAAGTACAGCCTGTGCAGTGATCCACCTGTCTCCTGCATGCCCCCAGAGAGTAGTATTCACTCCAACATGTGTCCGTCCAAGACAAACTCCAGCGGGCCATGTCCCGACCGTTTCGACACGACCGAATGGACAGGACCGTTCAAGCTGTTTGACCTTCCTCGGGAACTTCGAGACAAAATATACTACCAATATCTATCTCGTCCCGGCCGTATCTACTACACTGCTCATACGGACAAGGACTTTTGGAGAAGCCATACCAAAAGTGATGATTTCTCCACTTTGTTTACAGTGTCCAAACAAGTTTACCATGAGGCATTCAACGTCTTCTGTGAAGCCAATACCGTAGCGCTATCCGTACACTACAACGCTCGCGAAGGCTACAGTAAGCCCCTCGCTGGACTCCTTCGTCTGTTTCCCGAACGAGCCGCGGCGAGTCTGACTAGAGTGAGCAACACATATCGCGACGTTGTTCCACGGCTGCTGGGACAATGGGGTTATGCACCCAGTCACGACAGTATCGCCCGGGGCGGCGACGGAACTGGCAGGTATCAAAAACACAACTCGGCTGAGGAGACGTTTGTAGAGATCTTGAGAGACGCGCATGTTCTGAGGCAATTCTTCCCGAAGCTGACTGTTTTTGAGGCCGACTGGTATCCTGAGCCGCCGTTCCATGAGTATGCAGAACAGTTGGGTCAGGTGCGTAAGATTGCACGTTTGTGGAAGGAAGGCGTAGAAGAGGGGAAAATCAGAGACATATGGCTCGACACGATGCAAGGGTGGTTGCACGAGAAAAATGTGGTACCGCTGAGTTGTGTCAGGTTTTCTCTCAATGGTTTTGCGGCGGACGGCTTTGACGATGGCTTTGACGTGCTGTTCAATGAAGCATACATAACACTGGTGAAGGAACGGACGCCTGGAGATGATATTGAGGATAGCGGGAGAGCGTGGCTGGAGGCGATGGACAAGGAGAAGACGACTAGGAAGAAGAAGGGTAGGAAGACACGGGAAGAGAGGGCATAGGTTGATATGTGGGGCTAGCCGACGACGAGCTAGTCCAGTTGCTCCCGTTGTGCTAGAGATGGTTGGGTCTTTGGCCAATTGTGATTCTTGTCATGTACACGGTTCGATGGCTCTGCACCCCGCGGTGATAAACCCAAGCTCTTATCTTCAACATGACGCCGCACCCGATGCAGGGACTTGTCGATCCGGCCCTGGCCGTGATAACCCTGACCCTGACCCTTATCTGCTTAGACCTCGAACCTTTCTGGGAGAAGCATAATTGACGATTTCACATGGCTGACGCGACCAGACGGCTTGTCGACCAGTGCGTTCCAACGGGGCCTCTACATGGTGCTATGATGGGCTTCACGTGACTTGCAGACCAACAATCGTAATGCAACATGGAAGCGGTGCGTGAGCGAATGGCATGGGCCCTGATGAAAAAAAACGTGCTCATGCCCATCACTCCTCGATCCGATTTCATCTTGACAAGATGACAGGTGGCGCGCAGGTACGCTACTGTAGGTTGGGGGGGCTTCCGGGGAGTATAGTAGTGGGGCGATTGATGGCTAGGAGTGTACTATGGATGTACACCTGTATGTACATGTTTGTGTATGGACAGACGGGCTTTATAGCGGTAACGATTACATGTGCCTTGTGCCCAAAAGATGCGAGTGCAGGGTTGGTAGTCCGCTTGGCATGGCGTATGGTGCATGTGAGGCCAAAAGGACAAGGACAGATGATCGAGTGGCATCGACTCGTATCTGACTCCAGTAAGTAGCACTCGTCAGTCGAAACCTGGGGGCTTGCTCGAGAGTCCGAACAATGTCCTCGCTCGCCCGAGCAGAGTTCGAGCAAACGCCGTTGCTCTTCGCAACGGCTGGTTTCCCGTCGGACAGGGCCAAAAGGGACTACGGGTGGATGCCACCCAGCCGCGCCTGGAACGACATCACAGTGCAGCTGTAGGCCCTGTCCTGCTCCCCCCTTCTCCGCACCACTGCGCCATTCACCCTGACGGATCCGCTGAAGCCGCAGTCCTCCAGCTCACTCACGCCGCAAACAAGGCCCACTTGCCAACCGTGCAACTTTCCCACCGCCAGCATAAAGCTGTGCTCGTGCTCCCCGAGTGTCCCAAAAGAAGGCCGCGAGTCAAATTTCCATCCTTGGCCCCTGCACGGTTAGAGGTCAGAGTACGCAATTTTCTCCCTGGATTCCGAGATCCTGACACACAATTCAATCCTTTTTTTTCTTTACCGCTTGGTTTGATTCAACAGACCTCAGTACCTGCGCTAAGTATATATGCACCTGGAATACCTGGCCCCAAGTCTTCCCAAGCGACAAATATTGCATAGCGACACATTCCTGTCCTTGACTACAACCACTACCCTTATGTATACACCCACCCATACATAGCATACATACCAGAGCGACACTTCCTGAGCGACATTCTTGCCCATCATCCTTTGCGGCCCCAGCGCAACAACGACTCATTCCTTGCGACCATATTAGAGTCCTCGACCCAAATCCCCTGATAGCCAGCAACACCCATCCGCCGCCATGTCGTGCCCACAGCCCTTTCGATTCCTGGACCTGCCCGGCGAAATCCGCAACAGCATCTACGACTTGCTCCTCTGCTCGTGGGATGATGAAGTCGAGTATGAGCCAAGCATGATTAGCAGCAGCCTGAGCAGGCGCGCAGGCAGCCCATCGACCGGCCTCCTTGGCGTCAACCACCAAATCCATGCCGAAGCGTCCGACTACATGATCAAGCGCAACCAGTTTGTACGCGTCACCTGCCGTGGTCTGGATGTGCGGAGCCTCTTCCTCAGCGAAGGCATTCCCGTCATCACGACCAAGGCACGCAGCATCAGCCTGTTTGAGGGCCACGTCATGCACGTGACACTATCCAAGCCTGCCTTTGTGCCCTCGGCCTTCCAATTTGCCGAATATGAGATCATGTTGCTCCGGTCCGATTTGCCCCGGTTTTGCCAGCAGCTCGACATTGAGAGCGTCATGTCTGATGCCAACCCGACGACAAGCGAGCATGCGTCAATCCAGGCGTGCATCCGACTCAACTACGCCCAAACGCGTTTCCTTGCCCCCAGTGCACAGGAGCGCCTTTTGCAGCCTCTTGCATCGTCTCTGCGCGGCGTGCCAAACGTCAAGATTGTCGGTCCTGTCCATGGTGCCGTGGCCGAAGCTGTCAAGGCCGAGGTGGCAAGGCCCCGCTGGACCGAGCCCATGGCGACGATTGAAGAGATTGACACTGGTGTGGACGTGGGCAAGCGGCAGTGGCAGCAGGCCAACTTTTACACTGCCTCACAGTCGTGGGCATATGCGATGCGCACGCTGGAGCGCATGCGCCACAGCTCGTCATGGCTAGGTCTTCAAAAGGCGGGCGGGGAAGGGTTTGTGAACAAGATTGCCGATCTTTACTTCACCCTCAACCTATTGCATGCGCAGTTTCTGCAGGCTGACATGGCCAGCGACGAGTCCCCGGGCAGTGTGGTGCAGCGCAACGGGCGGGTTGCGATGCAGCATCTGCGCAAGTGCGAGACGACGAGTGCGCGGTTTGCGCAGCACGCAGGCGCGACATGGAGACCGAGTAATGCACAGGCGGCCAAGATGCTGTTTCGGCAGGCAAGATGCCTGAGGCTGATGGGTGACAGGGCGAGCAGCGTCAAGGCTGTTGCTCTGATTGAACAAGCTGCAGCGCTGGCTCCTACAGACATGGCCATTCGCGATGAAAAGGAGGCCGTGTTGAAGTGGGAGGCCGAGGTGGAACAAGGCCGCCGACTGCTAGCTGAACAAGCCCAGGCCCAAGCCCAAGCCGGGCAGAACCAGACGTCATCCATCTGGCATACCATCATGGGCGCCGTGGTTGAGCTGGCGTCTTGAAGAGGACGCACTGTGTTGGCAAGAAAAGACAAAAGTCGTGTTGTTTTGTGAGCGTTTGTAGCGTTGATACCCACGTGTTTAAGTATGTATGTACATGGATTGTTCAAATGAACAAGACAGGCTAGAGCAGAGCGGACAGGCCTGTTCATGTCAAGTTGTCACTTGCATATTCCTTTCTGTTGTTCCCATGTGGTGGTCGTCTACTGTGCACAAAGGGGTAAGTATAACGTGCTGGCGGCTGCAGACCACGTGACCCGACACGCGAAGGACGCGGGTGGTCTGGACGAGCAAGTGTGTATGTACGCAGGGTGGTGCAAGCAAGCCAGCTTGCCCAAGAAGATGCACCGCCATGGATGTACGCGCATGCTCTCGGGCTGCTGCTCAACTCGTCGTCTTTGCATCCTCGCATCCTCGCCTCCTTGTGCCTGGAGATGTGCCGCCCCCGATCTTCGCCTGCTCTAGCGACAACGCCCGAACAAGCCGGCTTGTGGCCTTGGCTGCTGCGAGGGCCCTGCCGTGGTCCTGTCGCCGGCCTGCTCGACGACTCGACAACTTGGACTTGCTTCGCGCTCCTTGGCAGCTTGCGACGCTCGTTGCTCAAACCATACACGCTCTCCCGCCCACACTCGACGCCCTCAACCTTTTCTGCCAAACCCTCCATGGCCGTCTGCAGCCCTGCCAGCGCCCTCGCTCGATAGCCCCCACCCCCACCGACAGTCGCTTCAGACGCAGACAGATATCCACCGCGAGCCTCTGCAAATTTAGCGAGCCAGCACGCCCGCCCCCTCGGAGCCTCAACACGCACTCGTCCAGACCGCCCTTGTTCCCTCGACCCAGCGGGCCAGCCATCAGCCTCTGCCCTGCCCTGCCCCCGCCCGCCCTGGGCGCTTCGGTCCCCAGCCTGCCTGCCAAGCTCCCTCTTCAGAGTAGTAGATGCGACAGCGCTCGTCCGCCGACCCCAGCGCCGCCGCCGACGACGACGACAACCACGCCCACCCTCGACCTGCCCCCTCTCCGGATCATGACGATAGCCTCAACTGCCACTCCGCGGCATTGCTAACAAACGCCCTGGACTCGGCCCATCCTCTGCCTGCCCACCTGCAGCCCAGCATGGCTCACCAGAAGCCTCCCCTCGCCATGCCTGCCCTGGCCAAGGACATGATGCCGCACAACCCTACCGACAGCCACACCACCACATGCCGCCAGCGACTGCGCAATCCATGGGCCTTTTCGCCCTACACCCTCGTCACCACGCTCGCTGCCTTTGCTGTCATGTTCCTCATGGCCCAGTCCTTTTTGCTGCGCCAGCAAGACGTCAAGGGCTGCGGCATGTCGTACATGCGCCCGTCCTACACCAGGTTCGGCCAATTCGACACCGAGCACACGCGGTTTGCAACAAAGTACTCCCTGTACCTGTACCGCGAAGCCAGCTTGGACCAGGATGCCAGGGCATGTCGTTTCCTTTTCCAGTGCCAAATTCCACTGACAAGCCCCAGGTTCAAGGCGTGCCCGTCCTCTTCATCCCGGGCAATGCGGGCAGCTACAAGCAAGTCCGTTCCCTCGCTGCAGAGGCAGCCTACCACTACCACAATACTGTCCAACACGACCTAGACGCTGGCAAGGCGGGCAAGCGCCCGCTGGATTTCTTCTCCGTCGACTTCAACGAGGACATTACCGCCTTCCACGGACAAACCTTGCTCGATCAGGCCGAATACCTAAACGATGCCATCACTTACATCCTATCTCTGTACCACACCCCGGATAAATTTCTGCGCGACCCCAACCTGCCGGACCCTACGTCGGTCATCATTGTCGGACACTCAATGGGTGGTGTTGTAGCCCGCACGATGCTCACCATGCCCAATTACCAGGCAAACTCGATCAATACCATCATTACGCTTGCCGCACCCCATGCCCGGCCCCCGGTCTCGTTTGATGGAGATATCGTTCGCACCTACAAGGGCGTCAACGATTATTGGCGACGCGCGTACGCCCAGAAATGGGCCATTGACAATCCCCTCTGGCACGTCACGCTCATTTCCATTGCCGGAGGAAGTCTTGACACGATGATTTCGTCCGACTACACCAGCATTGCCTCATTG